ATGCAAAATAGAGTGAACGATATTGATAATACTGTGTGAACTGTTAAACCAATATCACATTGGCAATCGTCTGGATATTTGTAAGAAATTGTGTTCTTGCTCATGACATTAACATTAAAAATAAATACTCACACAGTGTATGTTTTTGAATTAAAGAGAGTTTGAGTCTAAATGGATCTCTATGCAGTCTGTCTATATTGGTGCTTCATGGTAGTAAGTGCTAAATCCCCACTTTTACAAAGGTACATGGTTGACAGCGGCAGTGAAGTAGTGGAATTTGATTAGGCAGCATAATCTGCACGCAATATATCATATGGACGCTGTTTGTGTTGATAGAGTCAGTTGTATTTGACCTTTTACGGCACTATTTTGCCTGTTAGAACTACATTTTTGGTTTTTAATGTTATTTTAAAGTGGGGTGGAATTAAATGAACGGCAAAACTTAGCATTTTGCTCACGTATCCCTTTTGTCACCTTGCGTAACCCAGTTTGAGAACCACTGGCATTGTGAAAGCCTTCATGGTGATCTCTATCTCTTCAAACAGGCTCACGATTATGTTAATTCAAACATTTGAGTGACGCATGTATTGGTTTCATAATCGTTATTCAGATTTGCACCAATCCCGTTGTCTCATGAGTGTGGTCTGTAGAATTTTTAAAGAAATTAAGACAGCTAAGATGAATTAAATTGATTTAAAAGTGGCAGTAAGACATTTATAATGTTACAAAAGATTTATATTTTAAATAAATGGTTATTTTGAACTTGCATTTTTTTTTTCAGGATTCTTCAAAGATCAGTTTTCCACAAAAATGTTGGGCAGCACAACTGTTTTCAACATTGATAATAAGAAATGCTATTTACAAATAGGAAAAAGTGGCTACAGTTTGCAAGAGCTCACCAAAATTGGACAGTTGAACACTGGAAAAAAGTTGCCTGGCCTGATGAGTCTCGATTTCTGTTGAGACATTCAGATGGTCGAGTCAGATTTGGCGTAAACAGAATGAGAACATGGATCCATCATGCCTTGTTACCACTGTGCAGGCTGGTGGTGGTGGTGTAATGGTGTGGGGGATGATTTCTTGGCACACTTTAGGCCCCTTAGTGCCAATTGGGAATCGTTTAAATGCCACGGCCTACCTGAGCATTGTTTCTGATCCCTTTATGGCCACCATATACCCATCCTCTGATAGCTACTTCCAGCAGGATAATGCACCATGTCACAAAGCTCGAATCATTTCAAATTGGTTACTTGAACATGACAATTAGTTCACTGTACTAAAATGGCCCCCACTGTCACCAGATCTCAACCCAATAGAGTATCTTTGGGATGTGGTGAAATGGGAGCTTCATGCCCTGGATGTGCCTCACACAAATCTCCATCAACTGCAAGATGCTATCCTATCAATATGGGCCAACATTTCTAAAGAATGCTTTCAGCACCTTGTTGAATCAATGCCACGTAGAATTAAGGCAGTTCTGAAGGCGAAAGGGGGTCAAACACATTATTAGTATGGTGTTCCTAATAATCCTTTAGGTGAGTGTATTGTTCAACTTTTCATACTGTATATCTTTGGAATCTGGTTTCGTAACTGAGACACACCCAAGGTTAAAAGCCGTGCTTTACTACTATGAAACATGGCTTTTGCCAGAAAAGTGTCATTAACCTGGGGATTTAAAAAAAATATATAATTAGTGTATTTAAGCAAATACATGCTTGGCCCACCAGGCCTCTCTCTATCACAGCAGTGTCTTTAAAAACACCATTGTAAACAAAACACTTGTGGGCCAAAAGGCAGATATAAAAATGAACATGAGACCTGTCTCGTGCCCGTTTTGACTGTCCTATGAATCAAGACAGCCCAAAGCCTGTACACCATTACAAAGGCAACATTTGTTTTACTGTTGCTGTGTAGAACAACAAATTCAGCGCCTGACTGAAGCGTTTACAGTGAACTCTTCTGAGTTCCACATCAGAGCACCACAACAGTGACATTGAGTGTGGAGCACGATGCATTCAGAACTGCTGAATTTGCATGCATGAATATTTTAGTCAGTTGTTCTAAGAAAATTAAGCAGATGTACTTGTCATTGGGGCACCTTGCATAAAAGACATCTAGCATGTGACGCCAGACCCTTATAAACACATTTAGCTCAGCTAGCCTCAACACACACACACATATTTATAATACGTCACTATCTGAGCTAACCAATCATGAAGAAATACCTTGTAATTTAGTATATACTGTACACGTTTAGATGGGTAATGGTTTTATGTTTTTATGGCTCCTAAGAGAATCAGTCCATGTTTGTACACAGAATTGTAGTATACATATTCCCAGTCAAAGTTGTACGCAGTTTATTTTGGACCCCGAATTAGCCGATGCAATAAATGTCAGCAGAATAGCAGTTTATGATGAGAATGAATGTCATTGATTGCCTGCTTCTCACCAACCTTTCCTTTTCTTCGCAGTGTCGCACATCTTCAGCTGTCCTTTCTCTGCGAGACCCAGCTCTGCTGTTCTTCCCGTCTTCCTCCACTCCCGTTCCTGCTCTGCCAGGCTCAGATGAGCAGGCATCTTTCTGTTTCAAAGCTCCTGTGAGTCTGTGTGTGTTCGTCTAATTCATGCAGCGCATCAGTGTTGCCTGTGCAGAAATCTTCCACTCCAGCTAACCGCTTGTCAGAGCATCCCTAACAGGGAATATACTGGTGGAGAGAGAGAGAGAGAGAGACAGAAATTCTTCCTGGGGGAAATTGTGTGAGCAGCTGATTTGCTCCTGTCTGGGCTGTGTCCAGCACACGTGCACGGCTAGCAAACTCAGCGAGCACGTATGCACAGAGTGCACATGTGCCATCCTCTGACAAAAGAAACCCATCCAGCTGGTTGCAGCTGTGATTATTGGAGGTGTGTTTCTCTTTAATAAACCCATAAGAGCCCCTTGCTTTGCATTGCCCGGTCACATTGATGGCATGTAAGCAGCTGCAGCAAAGATGAAATATTCACAACACAACAAATAAGATTCTAAGTGGTTGCCTGGGTGATCGTGATCGTGAGACTGAATGGAGGCATGACATTGCATGCCAGTGTCCAGAAATAGCAGCAGGTGCAACCCTGCAAAGCAAACTTGATTTCAATCTGCACAAGGATTAGTGATTTGTAACATATAATATACAACCGGTCACAGATCAGATTCATGGGGAAAGTTCTTGTGCTTTTCACATCCCATAATGCTTTTCTACAGATCGGCTGCCTGTGCATGAGGATCTGCTCTCAGACTGAAAGATGATGTAATGCGTTCACTCCATAACAACTGCGATTCCATATTGGTGGTTTTGTGTACAGTAATACAGTAGTTCTCTTGTAATATATTGCATTAGTCTTTTAGCAAATTTCTATCCAACGCAACTTGCAGTTCATGTTTTGAGACAATCACCCTTGAGGAATGGGTTGGGTGGGTGAACTCATAAATCACCCTTTTAGCACACAGTTTTTAACCTGTAAACCACTAAGACACACCACTCATGCATGTAGACGTAGTGGAGACAAAAGGCTGTAGTAGGTTTGGTTTGTCACACTTTTCAACACTCGTTACCCCATATAAATCCAATTTCTGTACAAAAACCTTTGTTTGGCTACAAAAAAGCTGTTAAATTCCATTATCGCATTGAAAAAACAGTTTATGTAACATAAATTGGTTTAGATCTGTTCTGTGATGGGGCATGTTGTCACAATAGAAACTTGCTATTAAATATCCTGCTATAGGCGTTTACGTAAACTACAATTCATGAAACAGCAAAAAAATTATATCAAGGCATTAATGTCCGATTTCACAGACAAGGCTCAAGTCTAGTCCCAGACTAAAATGCATGTTTGAGCTGTTTTAACTGAAAACAACTTGCACTTATAAATCTTAAAATATGACACTGCCATTGTTTTATTCTCATGTTTTTTTCCTATGCCACATTTTTGTTGTAATTTAACTAAAGCTTAATCCTTGCTTAATCTAACCAATCCTAAGTGTTTTTATATAAATATTAAATTTAAATGTTGTTACTGTATACAACTTTTCATTTTATACAGTTTTTTGTAATGCTTTACAATAAGGTTTCATTGGTTAAATACATTAGTTAACTTGAACTAATAATGAACTGCACATCTACAGCATTTATTCATCTTTGTTGATGCTAATTTCAATATTTGCTAATACATTATTAAAATCAAAAGTTGTATTTGTTAACATTAGTTAATTAGCACATGAACAAATGAACATGATTTTTTTAAACTATCATTAACAAAGAGGAACAAATACAGTAACAAATGTATTGCTCATGGTTAGTTGTCAATGTTAACAAATGAAACCTTATTGTAAAGTTTTCAGCAAACCTCAATGATACTGTATAGTCATTGTGACAGCTAACCTTGGTATCATCTATATATAATAACCTGCTGTAGCATTACAACATATGCAATTTAGATTTATCTGGAACACACGTCAGAGTCAAAAGAATTCTTTAAAAAGTTTCACAAGGTTCAAAGTACGTGTCTTTTAATTTGTCTAAATGCAAATTTCCGGTTGGTTACATTAACACCCACATAGAGACTAGTTTGTGATTATAAACAGGTTAGGTGAGCCTTTCCAGGGTGGCGGCACTTCTAAGTTTGTTACATTCTCAGGATGTCTGAATGGTAAAACTTCTGATAACAATTCAAACAGAATTAATATTCTATGATATTCTATTAATATTCTGTACAGATCATATTTAATTTGTGATTTGACAAACAATCAAGTTTTTTGGTTTATAATATGATGGCTAGTGTGTAACATTGAAATTTATTTGGTTTGATTTCTTTCTGTAACTTAATATCAGTAAGTACATGTGAAAAAGGGTGCGAGAGGGAGAAATGTACACAAGTAAATGAATGAGTGAATGTCTGATGGCATGATGACAGGTGAAAGAATGAGGAAATTGAGCTTGTCAAAGCTTTTTCCCATTCCTGTCAGAAAGGTAGTGTCAGTGTTTTGCTGACAGGAGCTGACTGACTGGTGTCTGTTGTCTGCGCCGATATGTAGGGTTCAAGAGAAGAGACTGCCCTGGGACTGGATCTGAACACTTTAAACAACAGGTCACTGACTGAAGGAGGTCGCTGAATTATCATCTCTACAGGTATTTTTGTTTTTCACTATATTTCATAATTTCCATCTGGCATCTTGCAAGTGAGTCCAGACCTATTCATTGCCTTTTTTTTCTTCAAAGGACATTTATTTGGTCTTGCTCGTATTGTTGAGTGAGAGTGAGCATAATAATCGAATTGTGAACTTCCTAGAGGTGCAATTTTAGAATTCTTAAATGATTTAGAGCAGATGGATCTCTTAAGTTTAGTCCGGGGATCTGTTCCATGTGTCATTTTGGTTTTGGGTGAGGTTTACCTACCTTACTTGTAGTGCTGTTGGAATTACAGATATGATTTGGTTTTACCAAATGGTTTTACTGTTTGATTTGTTGTCCTGGTATTGTTGTCCTACAATAGACCCAGCTATGTATAAACAAGCAATATTAAATCCATATAATGTGGCAGTGCCTTCTATTCAGTATAATAGTTGACACAGATATGACACTTGTATATTCAGTATAATAGTTCACCCAAAAATGAAACTTCGCTGTAAAAATGTATATGACCTAAGTTATGACAACATACATTTTTACATTGCTTAAGCTTTTTTCAAAATAAGCAGTTTTCAACTTTTTCTTTAACAAGTTGGATAAGTTTCAACAATTTTCTTTTAAGTCAGTTTAATGTAATTTAAGTTGAAAAGGCTTAAACATCCAAGTTGATGTACTTTGTTTGTACTGTAGTTTGTAATTAAAGGGATACTTCAGGATTTAGCATGAAGCTTCGTATTAGTAGAAAACCTGTTGTATTTTCGAATTACCATGCTTTCTACCCTTCCACCCCGAGACGAGATATTTATGTATTTTTTGTCTGGAATCGTCATATTGCATCATCGGAGGATTTTTTGGCCAGAGGCTAAAGACTACCGCATGTTTTCAAACGCCCATAGAGAGTGGGATCTCACTCACAGAATGTATACATAGTGTCAGCCATCTTTTTTGATGGCTATATCAAAGATAAGCTAGCAGGCTCGTGTTCTGTGGAGAAAGCTGAGTAGTAACTTTAGGGGTTACCATCCTCTTTTTGCCGGACATGTCTGGCTGTCAAAGTCCAGGATTTAGCTTTTGCTTTCTGCAGTCGCCATTCATTGTTTACATGCAGATCTTTTGTTTCAGTCTTACTGTATTAATTCTGATTTGTGAATCTGAATGTAGTGTTTACATGAACGCTAAACAAGTGATTGGTTGATGTGCGTTTTAACATTCTAAGAAAATCCCCGCTCCTCCATGAGAGATACGAGAGCATCTCACAGGTGTCACTCATCAGTAATCACGCCACCGGCCTCGCGTCGTTCTCCTGTGGCCTACTCTCCTCCTTCTCACCACAGTAAACATAGGCTAATGAATGGTGACTGTAGAAACACATTTCTCGAAACATATTTTCGGGTAGACTCATCACGGAGACTCACTAGTAGCCTAGACTTGTTGTTTAACTACTGCGCTCTGTTACCAGTAGGCGTGGCGTCCTAGGGCAGCGAAGCAAGTGCATTCTGGGTGTTGTTGTCTTCCATCCACATAAGCCAAAAATACATATTCTGGCTTTTCTCAGACTAGAAAGTTCCAAATTCAAAAATAATTTCACATTTCTTCTACATAGATGACCCATTTTAAATACACATTCATCTTTAGAGGTGAAGTATCCCTATAAAAGTTTAGGGCATCAACTTTATTTTTTATATATAGTACATGTATATACACAGTGTTCTGTCATCATTTACTTGCGTTTAAGTCATTCCAAACCTGTATTATTCTGTATTATTACAACTGTGTAATTACAAATGGAATTACATAAATGAATTACAGTTGTAATTACATGCTGGTATTTTTTAAATATAAGTGCGAATTAAAAACATGTAACTTATTGTATCAAATTAATAATTCCAATGCAAGTAAGTACATACTTAAAGGGTTAAGTTCACCCACAATGATGTCCTTAATGACTCGCCCTCATGTCGTTCCAAGCCCGTAAGACCTCCGTTCATCTTCAGTTTAAGATATTTTAGATTTAGGCTGAGAGCTTTCTGTCCCTCCATTGATAATGGGTTATACTGTAACCCATTATCCATTGGTATACTGTCCTTGTCCAGAAAGGAAATAAATGCATCATCAAAGTTGTCCATGTGACATCAGTGGGTTAGTTAGAATGTTTTGAAGCATCGGAAATACATTTTGGTCCAAAAATAACAAAAACTACGACTTTATTCAGCTTTGTATTGTCTTCCGGTTCTGTTGTCATGTCAAGCCGACAACAGTGACGCTGCTGACGTAAGACGCTGCTGACTTGTATATCTGGTGTGTCCGTGTATTCAGGTTTAAATAAATATGGCTGGGAAAAAAAATCTTCCTCTGTGTCAAAATTCTTAGACATGTTTGCGAAGATTGTTTTGTTCACAACGTGCGTCTCCCTCAGACTGTAAACAAAGCGCAGGCGCACTGATAACACGTCAGCAGCGTCTTATGTCAGCAGCGTCACTGAACGTGGATTGACAACAGAACCGGAAGACAATACAATGTTTAATAAAGTCATAGTTTTTGTTATTTTGGACCAAAATGTATTTTCGATGCTTCAAAGCATTCTAACTAACCCACTGATGTCACGTGGACTACTTTGATGATGTCTGTATTTATTTCCTGTAATTTATCATTTTCATTTTTGGGTTTAAAGCCACTTAATATAAAGTGGGACCCTTATGTTTTCTTTAGAACAAATAAATTTGATTCTGGTTATTCAAATAAAAACACAAATTACGATGAGAAGGCATATCAAGCTTCAAAAAGGAAATAAAAAGTCTTTATTCCAAGTCTTCTGGAGACTTAAAATAGGTTTGCGTGAGAAGCAGACTTAAATTTACATGGCATTTCAATTAAAATATTTCTCCACAATGAGCTATTAACCACTCCGTGTTTGAAATTGAGTCAACTCTAGAACCGGCTCAGTCAGATGAAGTTTCAGTTTTTCTTTTTCTAAACTGGACAAACCAATGTATTATAAAGGCCTGACTCCAATGAGTGATTCATTCACAAATAAGGCATCACTACTTGGTCTGTTTGCAAAGCTATCCTTTGCTGGTCTCAGAACAATTGACATAGGTATATGGATCACTTTTTTATGGTATTTCTGTATCATTTTGTTGAGAGTGTTAAGGCTTGAAAACTTAAATCACTTTTATTCACATGGGAAAAACCAAGTCACATGGGTTTGGAGATGAATATGAATTTTTGAATTAAGGGCCCTTAGGAGAAGAAAAATATCTAGTTCAAAGTGAACTGGCTTCTTGAGTATAGGATTTTACAATTTAGTGTGGGGTGTTTTGTTCCTCCTAAAGCGATTTGTTGCAGCACTTCTCAGTGGTGATGCCAATGGATACATTGTAAAAACGTCTTTCTGTGGTAATCGATGTGCTTCATGACATAGGCAAAACAGTCAATATAAAAGACCTGATGATGCAAATCCATGTGAAAATTGTTTTCTGTCTTTGCAACAGGATTGTGAACCTATATTTAATTGTGTTTTTTTTTGTGTGTGTAAAGCACTATTCAGTCACAATTGAAAATGGTATGAGGTCCACTTTGACTATGTATTCAACATTTGATCTGTCTTCCTGTAGGTACCACAATCATGGCACCAATCAGCCCAGATCTCTTTGGCTGGGCGATCTCAGAGCAACCAGAGGCCGCATTTCTCTCCATAATTGTCCTCGTCATCATTAGCATTGCGCTCTTGGTTCTATGTGCAAGCTGTAGAAAGTAAGTGCTTCCTCCTGAGTGACCTTTGAGTGAGTTTGCTTGTTTTTGGTTTAAAAAAACATGACTCAAAAGGTGAAGTCGTCTGAAAACAGCTACAAGGACATGCATTGTTGCCTATGTAGCCGAAAGTCACATACGCTATTGTTGTAAGCTACATTCCAGACATCATTGTCAAGATTTTCCACTATACACATTTTTAAGGAATGAGGCTGGAATGTGGCTCTGTCACAAAACACAAAGAAGTGCGACTTACACATTCTCGTTCATGCTTCACTTAAGAAGACATGAAAAAGAGACCAAGTGAATAAGGAGTATATTGTAGGGTTAACATTTCTAAAGTCTATGCATACTGTCGATATATGAAGAGTTCAGATGCAAAAGCCTCTAAGTGCCATTTGAAATTTTCTTCTAGAATGATAATTTTTATCAAGCTTGTATATTTAAGTTCAGTAATTTCACTTAAATGGCAATGATAATTACCTATTAATTGTTATTTAAGTGAAATTACTGAACTTAAATATACAAGTTTGATAAAAATCATCATTAAAGAAGAAAATTTCAAATGGCATTTAGAGGCTTTTGCATCTGAACTCTTCATATAAGCCAGTGGGTCAAGCATTTCAGTCTCATTCACATTTTTTAAACTCGTTAAGGTAAAATAATATATACTTCTTATAAATAAAATAATATTATCATAATAAAAAGATTTATTCACATTTATTTGGAGCTGCAGTTTTAATCGCAACCACTAGAGGCCAGCCAAGAACACCAATGCATGATGTGTTGGAAAAACTTCAGGCATTTTTGCACTGACCATACTTTTAGTATCATCAGTGTTGCTCTAAAAATTAATTACTAGCTACTAATTACATCTTCAAGAGTGTAATTAGGTTACTGTAAAAATTACTCTCTCTATAAAGTATTGCATTACTTATCTCTTTCTAAATCCCATATCAACCTAGACAGGAAACTGTTTTAATACTTTCAAATAAATAATATAAAACTGAATTAAATATTGAACTGTTTTAAAGGGAGAATGTTACATTAACATACATTTTAAATTTCACTTTTGTTTTATATAGAATTGCTCTGTTCTATACAGTAGGCTATTTAACACAATTACATCCATAGTAACTGTATTTAGATTTTTCAAGGGAAAAGTAATTCAATTATAGTAATCACTTAGAAATGCATTAAACCCAGCATGTCATACATTTATTGTAAGCAACTGAATCTTGTTTGTGTTAAAATATAAATTGATTGCTAATTCAATAATGATTTGAAAATGAATGAACATTTATTTGGCGATTTTTGCAATTAAAAATCAGCCAATAACTTCAGTGCATGTGGGATTAACTTTAGGCTTTAAACTTTATTGCACTGGCAAAATGGGATTATATAAGCAATATAGTCACTTATGTGTTTTAAACAAATAATTTTGATTTATTTTATTACTCAACAGACATTCGTTTGAGTTGGAGAGCAACAGTGCAGCCAGTGCACCAGAGCAGAAAACATCGACACTTGTGAGCGTGGTGAGTGACAAATGAAACGGCATAAAACTAAAAGAAAATGGACATTGCTTTTTTTTTAAACAGTGTTGGCTTTCTAAAAAAAAGTAATTACACGGTTGAAGATGTTAGTAGCTGTAATTGTGGTGATGGCGTAAAAGTAGCTGGTGGTGGCGGAGTGGATGAGACGCATCCCTTTGATGTGAGAGACCTGGGTAGGAATCCACTGTGAGACACCAATGTGTCCCTGAGCAAGACACTTAACCCCTACTTGCTCCAGAGGTGTGCGACTTCTGACATATGTAGCACTTGTAAGTCGCTTTGGATAAAAGCGCCAGCTAAATTAATAAATGTAAATGTAATTAATTAATTACCTTGGAATTCAAATGGAATTCAATGCAAAGTCTCAACATGTCGACAACCTGAAACCAAACTCTTCCAGTTTCAGCTGCAACTACAGTGTTTGAGGGCGGGTCAAATTAGACATTGTTCTTGGGCAGCCAATGAAGGCCCATAGGCTAGAATTATGCAAATGTATTACATTATTATGTAGGTTTGTAACAGGAAGTGAAACTGGAATTGCTAACGACTTGTTTTGGCAGTTCAGAATCAATTCTTTCCTTTAGGAGATAATAACTTTATTTATTGTGCACTTTGATCTTTAAAACTTTGCAGACATTTGACATTCACAAACCACTATATTACACACTGCAGGAAAGAGAATATTCAAAAAAAGCATAATAGAGGCACTTTAATTCATAAAATTTAAAGGGATAGTTCACTAACTTGGAAATTAATTTTTAGTATGTTTTAGCTTACCTCAAGGGCATCTGAGATGTAGGTGTCTTTGTTTCCACAGTATTTTCAATTTTGATATTTTTAGGTTCGTGACATGTCAGTCATATAATGGAGGTCTATGGTCACCAGCTCAAAGAGCATGCACAGAGAAGTCCAAATTAAACATGATTTAATGACTCGTAAATGTAAGTACACATTGATGGCATAAGACACGAAACGAGCAGTTAGTGTGAGGAAACAAACAGTATTTATATTGTTTTTACTAGCTTGTAACCACAGCCACGTCCAAGTGATCTGAGGGCGCGGGCGCTTCGGTCTGCGCAAGCGCTGAAAGTGATCTCTCGCGCTTGTACGTCACCCATTGTTTCACAGAGATTTTGGAAGTGTTACCCTTCACTGGGAAGATCTGCATATGTTTAGATCCTCCCAGTGAAGGGTAACACTTCTAAAATTTTAAAGTGAACTATCCCTTTAAGTAAAATAAAAACAGAATTGAAACGAAATGAAATTAAAGCTAAATTCATAAAATCATCCCATGATAGGAAAACCTAAAAGGTTTTCTAGACGCTTTTTTTTCTCTAAGAGTGAATAAATGCTTAAATGTGATGTAAATCTTGTGCTAAACTCTTTCTCAATTGAACAGGCAAGAATGGGCGATTCATCAGGAGCCAGACACAACCCTGCTGCTAATGAAATCACGGGTGATGAAATCGGTAAACCGAGTTGTCAATGAATTTCTTTTGAATCTGAATGGCTGTTTATCACTCTGCAAACCCACTCAGCAGATGCACTAATCTTGTCTTTGAAGGTTTTGAGCCTGAGGATTTAACAATATCTCAAGAAGGAATCGTGTACAAACCTTGGAGAAGTCACACTCTCTCTCAAGGTATGTCTCTCCAGGACAAAAAAGATAATTGCAAGGAATTCAAACCACAACAGTAATTTAATCCCTGTAAAAAAAAAATGTTTTACTTTTCACCACACATTCTGTTCCCAGAAATGAGAAATGCACAGATTAGTCGAACCGTTAAGAGTTATTTGTGTTAGACTCTAACACACAACAATGCATGTACTTTCTGCAGGTTCAAACCTACCAACTCAACTAAATGGCGGTGTCGGGACAGTAACGCTTCAAGCTAACTGAGAAATTGTAAGCACTTCAGATGATTCTGTTTGACTTTTAAAATACTCATAAAGGAATAGTTCACCCAAAAAATGAAAATTACCCTATAATTTACTCTCCTTCAAGCCATCCTATGCGCAGCCGAACACAATCGGAGTTGTATTAAAAAAATATCCTGACTCTTCTTTGTAATGGCTTTGAAAAGTTTTTGAAAGTCCACAAAGCGCTTCATCATAAAAGTAATCCATACGACTCCAGTGAGTTAATAAATGCCTTCTGAAGCGAAGCCATGGGTTTTTGTAAGAAAAAATATCCATATTTAAAACTTTAGAAACTAAACTTGATCGCCAGAACTCGACTCTCTCGTGAACTGTTGCCGAAAGATTATAGTTTATAAAATATGGTTATTTTTTTACTTAATAATTGCCTTCTGAAACAAATCCATAGGTTAACCCACTGGAGTTTGGATGGATTGCTTTTATTATGGATGGATGCGCTTAAAACTCGGGCACTTTTCAATGCTATTCAATGTCAAATCTGGGAAGAGCCCGGATAATTAATGTAACTCAGACTGTGTTCAGCTGAAAGAAGGGAATCATTTATATAGTATACCTTGGATGGCTTAAGGGTAAGTAAATTATGGGATAATTTTCATTTTTGGGAGCCTATTTCCTAAAAAAGTGGAGTATCCCTTTAAGTTGCATTTCAGTAAAAAATCAAATGACAACAAACATGTTTTATTAATCTTATTTTTTAATACAGATAATAAAAATGGCGTTGGCGTAACACCACAGACCTTGGTGTAAACAAGCCTGTAGAAAGTTCCACCATCTTTATAATGCGACCTGAAATGCTCTTACTAAACAAAACCCTACACTATTTGGAGATGAATGCTTTCTGTATTCTTCTGGAGCCTGGCTGAAACCCTGCTTTGTGGTGTTGACTGCCATAAAGTGCCCATCAAACTTCATAAGAATAATTGGACCCTTCCCTCAGCATTGACCATACTGACTCAAAGATGAATCCTTATGCAACAGTTCAGACAGAGTTGACCAGAGGAGCCTGATCTACTGGTCACACCTGTTCTGACAAATAGGGGTCTCTTTTCAGATGGTCACCAATTAAATGTGACGCAAGAAAGTCACATGTCCATCTGAAGATGAGGTGGAAGTTTTGCCTCCATCATTATTACCAAAGAGACATGAAGAAATGAAGATTTTCAATGTATCTTTTTCTGATGAATTCCAGTATTGTGAAACTATTCTGTATTCATATTCATTCTTAATGGGGGTGATTATAGATTGTATCTGTCAGATCAATTGATCTGGATATGTTTGACTTGATGGATGCACACTGGTGAATATTTTTAGGTTTTGACCAAATGTACGAATTGCAGTGGGCATGATAAAAACTTGTAAATGTAATTAAAGTAACAAGTTTTTGAGAATTAACCCTCCTGTTCTGGTGAGATTGACTTTATTTAGGGGAAATATTTGCGCTCTTGGGCCTCTTCTTTGTTTATGAGATATACAATTATTTTATTTCTTTAAAAACAAGCAGTAAAACAACTGAATTCATATTTAATAATTAATAATTGTGTGAACAAAGAAGCCATTTTAAGAAAAATATTAAAATGATGATTTTTGTAAAATATTTAAGACAGAAAAATATGGATAAAAAAATAGATTTTCAAGTCAATTACTTTCTACAAAGTATAGAGCTTTTTTTTAAATAAAAATTAACCCCACATAAGGATTCTTTAAAAGGACACTCCTTTTTTTTATAATTTCCTTTTTTGTCATTGACCCTTGTTTTGAATGAGTATTACTGTTGCAGCAAGATCTGAAATCAAATATTTCCGGTACACAAATGTTAGATAAATACGGGGTCTCTGTAACCAAACATGTGACATTTTTAACTGAGGGTGTATTCATTCATGTTCAAAAGGACATTTTGTTTTACCAGTTCTTCGTTAAGCATGTTTTTGCGATATTACAACAACATAAGGGTTGAACGGACTAGGGTTCATTTGCATGCCCTATCTAATAAATTATAAATGTGTGTAATGGAATGCTTTTGTTTTGCTTGAACACATATTCATACATATACATTCAGAATAAAAAAATAATACATTATGGAAAATATAAAAAGCCTGCATCGGAAAAAGTTTGCATCATGCGTTATCATAATCATTACCAATACTTCAGTCTATTTTTAGGTCGCACGTAGCCTATGTTAAAACAGTGACATCCTTTAAACATCTTTTCCACATTTCTTTGACCTGTGGTCTTTGTCCGTTTTACGCGCGTTCAATGCTGGTAAGAAAATAAGCAAGAAGAAGAAATGTTTAAAGTAAACCGATCTTCACGTGACCCCTGTTCTTGCCCTATGGTTCTTGCAGTGTTCGAGCGCACGCGGATCTGTGGCTGACGTGCATAATGCATCTCTTTGGATGTTCTGGCATGGTGATGTACGTGCGCTCTCTCACGTAAAGCGTTTATTGGCCTCAGCTGGTTCACGAGCGCAGCGCGTGGGGAGGTGAGTCACAAAGATGGACCAATGGCGTGCTAGCGGACGGGGAAAACTCGAATTATGTAACCCTTTCATGCCCTCCCCTTTTTAGAAAACGGTTACTAAAAAAAGAAAAAGAAAACAGTAACTGAACTTAAGATTTTTTTTGTGTGTGAATTTAAAGATAACAGGCCTGCTGTTTGTTGGACAAATAGACTGACACCTTATTAACTCTCTCATTGTAATCCATTAAAATGCATCGATTCGCGTTTAAGATGTAAGACCTATCATAAGACGTGTGTTTCTGGTTCCAAAGCGTATTGTGATAAAAAAAGATACATTTTGGTAAACATTTGTAATTAAATCACAGTGTGTGAGATGTTAAAGAACATGAAGACAGCTCTGACTAAATCTTTGCATTTTAATCAACTGTCATAATTCATAAAGCATATATTTATAGCATATTGTTTCCTGAAAACAAGTCAAATATGACCCGACAAGGTTAGACGGGTTAATTCTATAAGTGTAATGCATACAGTGCAACATCTGTCAGCCAAAACTTACAAGGTACACGATGTTCCCATATACAAAGAGACAAATACTGCACAATTCAGACACGTGTATATGATAGCAAAATGAGTGCCATTTTAATGCACAATTCGTGTTATGCAATAAAAAAGCATATACGCATGTAAAATGCGCAGGAATCCACATTTCAAATCATTTGCTAGAATGAGCAACAATGCATCACAATTTGCATTCATGGTTAAATGCATTTTACTGTTGCAATGCAAAGCCACGGAGATTTAATAAAGTGGTGTAGCATGAAATACATTTTCATGTGTGTCCATTGTGTTTCTTGACCCTTCCTCAACTTCTGCGTAAACAAGTTGGAATTGTAGGGCGTGTGTCTTGGAAAGCGCTGCTTAGCCAATGAGCGTCGACATCCCTACCACGTGGTCAGGTTGTTTACTACAAGAGCAGAAGCCCGCTAGAAGGCGCTTGGGTGAAAACCCGGCACTGGATTACTCTGATACGGCTCACCTCTGTGAAGACGAAAACAATACGGATTAAAGCAAAATCAAACAGAAGATCATGGCATATTTGTCATGTAAAGCGACCACTGTAGATGAGAATAGACTGCTTTAATAGTGGTGTTCTTACGGCTTTGGTGCTTATCAAGCAGATACGGTTACAGTAACTGTAAGAATCCAGGCCGGGATTTTGAATACCTAAACACAACCCGTTCTAGTCTCTGAAAAAGGACATTTTCAAGTTACAGCCGGTCAGAGCAAGCCTTGTGGGAAGGGGGTGTGTTGAAATTTGGCAAAGGTACGTGTGTTCATTGAAAGTTTTCTCTATGTTTTAATGCTTTTGTTTCTTATTGTTGAGCTGTGTTTCTCAGACAAGACTGCGTTGTTAAGGTTAGTACAATGCAGGCAAGGATAGTATTAAGGTTCGTACATTATTTCAGTTAATTCACGTGAAAAGCTTGATACGTATGTTTGATACGTATGGCTTGTTTGTGCGACGATGTGCTTCGTTTTAGCAGAAATGTTATTTTAGTTGTTCTATATGGATTTAAAATCTACACAAGTGTGAACTTTTGCATTTGATATAAAATGTAAAAAAAAAAAAAAATCCCTGCACAATGGGGAAAAAGGTCAGTTGTGTTTATAATGTGCAAAAACGATTTAAAAAAAAAATCTGAAGAGATTAGCTGTCCAGTCCTGCATTATGTTCAGTTTCCCCAAAACTCCGTGCAACGCTTTTCTATGGATAATCTGCTTCTGCTGCGCGTTCTCGTCGCGTCGCTTCTGCAACGGGGCTGCGAGTGCGAGCATGTGGAGACTCACGCGTTGATAAACTGTCCGATTCTTGAATGAACGGCTCTTTTGAGTTAGACCTCTTCAATTAATTTTTAACTGGACGTGAATGAATCCGTCTGAATGTCATGTTCTATTTGAGTTGTTTTAATAGTTGAACAGCAAAAATAACTTAAATGAAACGTTCAAGACTTGATTGCTGACAGTTAATACGAGATAGAGATTGTTTAGTAAGATAATCACATTTATTAAAACCTGTAAAAACTTGATCAGCCTGAGATTGTTTCAAAGCAAAGTTATCGATAAATTTAATCTAAGTTGAGCCGAATCATGGCTGCAACAAAATGAACTCGGATACATTAAATCACATTAAGTACTTAATCATATAAAACCGTAATAAGCGGTCCTATGCGAGTATGTGCCTGGCTTCTTTGGAATGTTTTGGAAACATGTAATGTGCCACGCCGGTGTGTCGGGGAACACGCTATGACGTAATCGGGCATCCAAATCGCTTTTTGAACCGGTTCTTTGCAAGAAAGTGATCGAAGGAACCGGACTTTTCATCAATAGCTCTGAATATACCGAACATCCATTTACCAAAACCATTACATCATACTATATTCTCAAACTTTTATAACCACCTAGTTACTTATAATTAAACTGCTATTTTTAACAGATTTTCGAAAGGAATCTTCCTTTTTTTTTAATGAATTTTGTTTCTCACAAATTTCTAATTTTAGAATAAATAAGTTATTATTAGACTAGACGCAAAACAGCAGCAGGCATTTTTATCCTTCACATCTGTCGTTGTAGCCTATATTGCACATTATATCTAACCGTAACGTCTGCATATTGTGCAACACATTGACATGTCAATTAGAGGTCAATACATTATACTAAGTAATATTGTATGATATTAATGATTTGCACAGTATTTTCTGCTCCATTGTTATATGCATCTAGCTAGACGCTTATCCATTGGTTTACAGGAGATTTATATTTTTGATGAAGCTTATCTACTCATTCACCTCTATTATTCTGAATAATACAAGAATAATACAAGCAGCTCCCATGCTACCAAATATGTAGTATTTGGCAACCAAGGGAGTTTTTTGGTGCAATCAGTTGCAATTACTCTGAATCACCTTTTACTGGAATGGAGAAAAAACTTAATACTGGACTGCAGCTGGTAATAATGGTTATGTAGTAATTACCAATTCCTTTCTGCCCCAAACTCTTGGGTGAACATTCTTAGGTTACAAAGGCTAGCATGACCATAACTGTTTTAATGTCTTGCGTCAGTTAAAGTAGTTTTTGCATGGTTCATCATCATGTGCTGACAATGACTCATAGTCAATCTGCACAGTTGCACTTAAACTTTGAATTTTACATCATTTGTCCTGTGATGACTTAAGAGTTTGACACTTAGTTGCCGGATGTTTCACGTAAGGATGGTGCTGATTTCTCTGATCAGATTCAACAGAGCATTGTTGAGATTAATATAAATATTTTGTACATGTATACCAGTAACTTGTCTTTTTGTTTATTTCTTGAATTTGTAAATGGCAAAGTTAATATATCTTGTTATCTTTACACATTTAGATATGTCTTTGCTTTGAACTAGTGGTGGTTTGTTCCGTTATGGGTTTTTCCATTTTCAATGATACTGATATCTAGAGAGCAGGGTGTCTAAACTGAGATAATTTTTGGACCTATTCCTGATATGCACACAATAAAATGAGGCCAAAACATCAGGCTCTCTTTCTGGCAATAAGATGTGCTGCTGAGTGACCTGAACTACATTAATCATTTGTTTGCTTCGTCTTATCAGCTTCCGGTCCGTAGTCTGAATAGCGCTGCTGAATCTCCATCAGGAGTTCGTCAAAGCAGTTGAGAAGATTCAAGGTGCGACGAACTGAAAATGGTACCGAAAAGCAGGCTTGGGAAGCGTTCCCCACTGGGCACCCTGGTGTGTGGCTCCTCAGCGGATAGCCTGACAGAAACAGGGCCCCATGGATGCCCGGAAAGTGGGCTTCACAGAAGCAAGCTTTACCCTGGACAGAAGGTAAGCACGAATGTCTTTGTTGTTGTAGATTAAATCAAAATATGACTGGCGTTCTGAGTGAAATGCACTATACAATGTCAACACTGGAGAACGCAGACACTTCATGGTGTTATTCCTGATACGTTTTAGGTGTATGTGCACTGCGGAGGACAAGAATGTGGAGGTGTGGTCGAACAGCATAACCACGTGGACAATGAGGTGTCTATCTTCCTGCCCCAGCTTAACCAGCACGTTCATCGCAAGCTGGAAGATGTATGGACAAACCCCACGTCCAGTCCTAACTCCTCAGTCTCCTCGTCCATTGATGTGCCAAGAAGGTATGGCTTGTTATTGGTCTCAGAATGATGAATGTTGACTTTTTGAATGAGGAGCACTCCCTTATAACTCTACTTCAACACTGCAGGAATCCAGAGACAGTGGATATGGATGAGATTATGGCTGCAATGGTGCTTACAAGTCTGTCGTGCAGTCCAGTCATCCAACACACAACTCCAGGGAGCGTAGCTTCGGGTTAGTTGAACCTTACACATTCATAAATGCTTTACCAAAGCAATGGCACATTGTGTACACATCTGGTATAAACCAGCTGAGATTACTCAGCGCTTGCTGAGAAAAGGCGTTAGTCACCAAGAAGAAATCCTTAATAGCTGCACGTGTATCAAAATCTTACAAAATCCAGTGGAACAAAATATTACACTAGTGCAGGATTGCATAATCATCATAATTTTGAATAACTTCTGAAGGATTAAAAAAAGGTCCTACTGCCTAAACTGAGACTTCTGGGAGGGAAAAAAAAATAAATTTTTTATCTTATGCTTACCAAGGCTGCATTTATTTGATCAAAATGACAGTAAAAACAGTAATATTGTGAAATATGATTATAATTTATATTTAACATTTTTATAAATGTAATTTATTCCTGTGATGTGCTGCTCTCATGTTGAAAACAGTTTTGCTGCTTAATATTTTTGTGGAAATATATTTTTGTTCTGTATTCCTTTATAAATAGGATTATTTTGCTTATTTAATGCATCCTTGCTCCTTTTTAAATTCTACTGACCCCAAACTTTTGAACGGTAGTAATTTAATATTATATTATGTACTGAATGACATTTTGTATTAATATTAATTATTTTTTATAATATTTATATATTTTTTCAATGTGTTCTAGCATTTAGAAACGGGTTCGTAGAGGTGCTGGAAATTCTGGAATTTTAATATAGTTTTTTTTATATCGACTAATACAGATTATATAGGATGCCGAGTCTACTTACAGACATTTTGAACAATGAAACTTGTAACAAATGACAAATTTATCACACAATAACTTCTGATTTAATGTGATGAAGTATGTTCATGTACTGTATGTAAACATGTAATTTACCACAGTTGTAACGTGCTGCAAAAGCTTGGAAGTGCTTGAATTTGACTTTGGGAAAAGGGATTTTATGATGAAACATAACTCAGTCACCTATTATTCTGTTTGTAGCTTTGTGTGGAATGGAAAATGGTGGTGGTGAACTGTCTGATGGTGGATATTGGAGCTGCGACCATGGAAACGGAAGCCCCGCCCCATCCCCACCCATTGCAGAGATGGACAAGAGCGCCCCTCTCGTTGATGAAGGCCTGGACATGGAACTGGACCAAATGTTATTTAATGAGCCAACGCCAAGAAAACGCAAGGTACAACTGAATTTATATACTGTATAATATATGAGGTGTTGGTTTTATGAAGTGTGTAGATTAATTGTCTTGTTTGTGTTGTTTTTCACCCTATAGAACTCAGTAAAAGTAGCATATCGGTGCTTGTGGCCAAAATGTGGAAAAATACTGACCTCAGTTGTTGGCATCAAACGTCACATCCGAAATTCTCATCTTGGGTAAGCATCACAATCGCCAAACGTCTCCCAGAAGTGTCTAGCCAATGAAGGCAGCAATCTGGGACTGGGTTTAGATTGTAAAAACACTATGTGTTATGTTTTCTGCAGACAAAGTGATGAGCACTCGCAAAGAGAAGAAGACTTCTACTACACTGAAGTCTATCAGGACTTGGAGCAGACAGCTCCCCCTGCTGGCCCCCGGCCCTCCTGTGCGTCCCCTTGCAGTCCCACCCGACACAGGCCTCCTTCTCCCTCCACCCCGGAGACGCTCCATCCCAGCCCGCTCAGCCAGTCGGCCCCGAGCAGCTCCTGGCAGGTCCATACCGAGCACTCTTACCAGGTGAGATGCCCTTGAGGGCTTTTAGTGCCATTAAAAGATCTGATTGGTGTCACACGTCGCTGTTTGCATGTTGTCCTAAATGAAGAAACGTGGACGATTGTTTAATATGTTGATTCTTTAGGCTCATCCACCCATTCCGGTTGTGACTCCGTGTAAACCAGTTTCTGTTCCTGTGTCCTGTCATTGGACTCCGTCTCTTACAGTTCACCAGAGCAAACAGGTGAGATTTATTTATTTTTATTAAAGAGACCATATTATGATCTGTTACAAAGTCTTGGTTTTGTTTTTGGAGTCTACTAGAATAGTTTTTCATGCTTGACTGTTCAAAAAAGCATTGCATTGTTGCAGAACCTCTCCTACCAGTCTGTCACTAACAGTCAAGATTGCGATGAAATGAACCGAATGCTAGGTTGCTTATTGTGCCCAAGAGCATGATTGAAGTCCACATGTCATTTAACAAAAAAACTATGCTTCTTACTACAGTTTGAGAGCTGTAGTTCCAACCACGTAAGATTGTGATGTTGTTTGCGAATGTTCATTGGAACAATGGTTTAGACGCTGCGTTCATGTGCTATGGTAATTATGGAAAATGCACATGAACACCCCCTCATGTGGTATTTTCCACTGGGCAACTCGTAGAATATTTTGATGGATGAGTTGCTGAGATGAGATAACCTTTGAACTTTTCAAAAAGGCGGAGAGCACCGCAAGAGTCGTGAATGGTAAAAATATGTACTATTCATGATCTAGAAAATATATTTAGCATATTATTTACCTTTTGAGTTTTGATAAATCATTTTCTTGCTGTTGCAGATGAATTAAGCAGTCTAAAATAGTTTTAGCTAAATAACAGGTCTGGATCTCCATCTTTTTACCACATTACGACAACAAAAGCACTTGAACGCAACACACTGGTAAATACCAGTTCACAAGTATACTATTTTCCATAGCACGTGAACGCAGCGAGAGAAACGCCAAATTGTTGAACTATGTTGGTAACCACGGAAATTGCGACCATAGCTGGCTAATGATGGTTTCGGGAAATGCACCCCTGTTTAGTTCCAAACTCTATAAAGCCCCTCCTTTCGAAAAGCACAATGGGCTCTGATTGGTCAGCTGGACCAGTGTGTTGTGATTGGTCAACCGCTTCCAGCATGTTTTGGGAAATTTGTCACGCATCTTGCCATAAATGCAGTTTCAACATACTACTAACACAACTCTATCAGGTCTTGCCTCTTTTTTGCCCATGCCTTGAATGGGAGATTGTTTTTTTTTTTTTTTTAATATTTTAATAAAGAATATTGGTCCTGTTTACACCTGATATTAAGATGCATTTTCTTCAATCACATCACAAGTATACGAGGGAGACACATTCCCGTTTACACCTGGTGTTTTAATCTCTTTTTTCCAATACTACAAATTTTGTCCACTACCGCTTTGGACTACCTGAGGAAGTGGATGAAAGTGGACAAGCTCAAAACGTTTAAGACCCCGTTTACACCTGTATTTTAGCATCTTGACGTGTTTGATCCCAGTAGAGAGCTCAAGACTACAATCGAGGCATTTCAGGGGGTTCAGAAAGCGCTTACTGAACTCCCTTTGGAGTGACTTTGTGCTTTGTAACATGGCAGACCTTTTTCAGACTCAAACAGCAAAACTACACACTCTTTAACTGATTCCATTATCATCTACAAGCTCAAAGAAAGCATAGATGTCTTTAAAGAGGCCTTTTGGCTGTGAATATTTATAGGTAATGGATCGTTGATCCATGAATGTTTTCTCTGAGGCTTTCAGAATATACAAAGCACCACATGGACTCAAATACATTGCGTTTTCGCACTGAAAATAGGAGTGACATACCCATGTTGTTTTGTGTCCTTTGTTCCACCCACAAGTGATGCTGGTGGTATTGCAATGCCATCTAGTGGAGTTCAGGCCAATGTGTTCTCTTTGTCTAAACACAGGCTTGTCACTAGGTTGAAAAATCATGTTGTGATCACCGTATTTTGATCTTGCTGGTTTATAACAGTCTAAGTTTTTTGTCTACAATATTTCTTTGAAAATAATCATTTCTAATTGTATATTTTTTAAATTTTTACAGCAAAAATGCATTGTTTGTACCACGGAGTAGTGTTTGCAGCTGTAATATAATAGTGCGTCATTCTGTGACTAATGGTGGCCCCTCTCTCTCGCTTCCTCTCTCTCTCATCCCCAGGGATCACCATTCCGCCGTCGTTCAGTTAGTGTTGGTGAACAGTGGCTCCAGAATAACAGCGCCTCTTTCAGGCCACATCCTGCCAGTGTTTCACCTCCAAGAAACCATTGCACTTCCAGGTGAGGAATTGGATTGTTTAGTCTCTCTATTAGTTAATCTTCATTTATAAAGTTATTTTGAAAAAAAAAAAAAAAAATTTTTTTGGCCAATAAGTACAAATTAGAATACTGAAGAAATAAAAAAGGCTTGATTTCATACTTTTTTCTCTGTAGCTGTACTTTTCTGTTGACGTAACTACAGGAAAATAATAGTAACCAATATCATCTTAATGTTTTAATATAAAATCCTGATAAATTAAAACTACCAACTGTTGTCTGTAAGATTAAATTTTTTTTTAATTCTCTTATGATCAACAAAGCTGCAATTATTTGATAAATACAGTAAAACAGTGATATTCAGAAGTATTATTTTTCTGATTTAATATATTTTAAAATGTAATTTATTCCTGTGATGTAAAGCTGGATTTTCAGCATCATTACTCCAGTCTTCAGTGTCACATGATCCTTCAGAAATCATTCTAATATGCTGATTTGGAGCTGAACATTTCTTTTTATTATAAATGTTGAAAGCAGTTGTGCTGCTTAGTTTTACTTTTCTTTTTTTAAAACGTGATACTCTTTATTCTTTGACTTGAAGGTTTGAAAGAACAACATTTTTTTTTTTGTAACAATGTAAAAGTCTTAACTGTCACTTTTATCAGTTTAATGCATCATTGCTGAAAAAAACCTTGTATTAATTTCATAAAAAAAAATCTTACTGACCCCAATCTTAAACAGTAGTTTAAATCACATAGTAAACTGTGTTTTGAATAGGATTTTCATTAGTTCTGTTGCATTTAGATTAGATGTGAAATTTCAATTTGAACTGTATATTCTACTAACAGGAGGATTCGGGGCGAAGCCAAGAAATGCAGGAAGGTGTACGGCATTGAACACCGAGACCAGTGGTGCACTGCCTGCCGCTGGAAAAAGGCCTGTCAGCGATTCCTCGACTGAATCCTTCTTGAGATTGGAAACGGAACACTAACCTTACAAAGACTCACAAGAGGGGAACTGATCTGGAACTGTGGTTGGAAGAAACCAAAAGAGCACCTTTGTGACTTAACTTTTTTCTACTTTTTATCACGAATACGTGTTTTGCGTTTTATTAAATGTGCTAAAGAGCCATGTTGGTGCTGGAAAAAAGATAAAACAAAAAAGGACAGCCTCTGCCCCACAACTCCTGCAGTCTTCCTGCATCTTATACCATATCAAGAATTGAAGAAGTGTTACCTTCCGTTTACATGCAGTAAGCAGCCATATACTTCATGTATATGCATGTTATTTAATGAGGTTTAAACATTAACGGATGGAAGTTAATTTATCATTCCGACTTAATTGCTGAAATGAGACGGGAGAGAGGTCTTTACTGCAGTCCGATGCTTTCAGGGGCAAAATTGGCAGCTTACCGTTAATTGTAGATTGACAAGAAAGCAGAGTAAATGTTTCAGTATCATATAACGTTTGTTAATGTATGCCATGTTTACCTGCTGATACGCAGTTTTTTTCTTCGATTTCCAGTGTAAAATTTTGTAATACAAACTTTTGAACAGGAAACAGGATTTTGTATTACCATTTTGATATCTGCAACGTGTTAAATCGTGTGTCATGTCATTATCGTTGTATATGTCACAGGTTATACTTCTGTGAAATGAGACCGTTTGCTTTTCTGTCGTGTCATTATTATTAAGGAAGTATTTGTGTAAACATGCATGATCTGATACAATTTATTCAGTTACGTTTGTGCTTCTCGCCCCAGTCCGCTCACTTGCTGTTCGTTTGTTTGGTCCGTGTTCTTGCCAAAGACAAAAATCTCAGCAAGATAATACATCGTTGGCATCTCTGCAAAATAATGTGAAAAAATATCTGTTGACCATTTATGAGTTTGATTGGTTCATATTCTTAATACTGGGTCCACATATTTTCTTATTTCGAAGAACACTTTAATGTGTCATCCTTTTTGTTTTTATATAGCTCAACTCTATTCTTTGCAAAGCTTGAGGCTTTGACATTATTAAAACTGAATGTACCTTATCCTGAAGATCTCCAGAAGTCTTTATGCATTTCCAACAGTCAGTGTCATAGCTGTGTAAGAACATCCTGGTCTGAGAGACATTCAATTAACCTCATGGAGAACAATATTTTTGTACATTTTTGTAAAGTACTTCCAAAGTATTTCCTTTTATGAAATGTCTTGAACTGTCTGAGATCTGTATAGGTAAAAGTAGTACTTCTTTTCATGAATCTTATGTTGCTTCATGACTTTTTTTAAATAAACTTTTGTGCAAACATGTATGACCAACAGCAAGTGTTGCATTTTAATATTTGAGAATGAGAAGGTGGGGTGCTTTCAGTTTACAATAAGTTGAGCATGTAGAAAATATTACATTTTCTTAGACTGAAATTAATGATGAACAAAATACTTCAGGACACAATCATTTGCTGCATGACAAGCTACAGAAAATATTAAACTATTTTATTGACAGTTCAGTTTTACTATGTACAGTTCATGTTGTGAACATCTGATTTTTATCTTCGGCATAAAGGGAAAAGTATGACTCAGCAATGTTTGCATAAAATACATCATTTCATTTGCACAAATTCAAATAAACTTTGACAGCTTAAAAAATAATAAAATGAAAGCTTTTGCTTTTCCCATTCTTTGATGAGGATGCAAACTGTGCATGACAGAATTTGTTATGTTTGTATTGGCATATTACAGTGATGAGGCTTTGCTGGAATCTGGCTTTATTTTATTTATTTTGTTTGTTGGGGAGACAGTAAACACAGATTCGCTTTCCTTAATCCCCTTAGAGGGATAGTTTACCCAAAAATTACAATTATATCATCAATTACTCATGCTCATATCGGTCAGAACCTTTCTTATACTGTCTATGGTCAGAACCCATTTTATTTTCTTTCTTCCTTAAAGGAAATGTTAAACAGATTGTTCAAGCTGCTATTTTCTCAAATACAATCTCATGGCAATTTGCAACTATTTTATGTTTTGGCAAATTGGTAGCTAGTTCGAATTAATTGGCACATTCACATTTGTACTAAGCCGAGTGGTGCTTATGTTTATAAGTGGGGTTAGGGCTGAAAACATTAGGCTACTTCTGAAGTAATAAGCCTAATATATTTAGTGCTAAGAACAGACAATTAATCTGTTATCACTCATAATGGGTTTGTGACTGAGAATGGTTTCATTTGAGATTTGAAAGCAAAATTTAGGTGATAAGTGATAATTAAAAAAACGTACTCTGTTTCTCATAGGTTAAGTTAATTAGATTTTAATGGTGATTTTGGAGCTCACGCTATCACGCCACACCCCCCGATTTCTCAAGCTGAAGTGTCAATCCAGGCGGTCAAACGCCTGAAAGATGAGTTTATCTATTGATCTACCTGTTGAGCCACTCGTGATCGACTAGTTATACCGCAAATTATTTAAAATATCCTGTAATCTAGAGCGAGCGTGCATGCGCGACAGATATTGAGCTCCTAACCGCGCACGTGCACGACTGCAGAGAGGTAAGCAAGCGACCTTGCATGCAGCCAACACCACCCCACCCCAAGTCACACGCCAAGCTAAACTCAAAAGTTGGCAGCTCCATAGTTTTTTTTTCTTCTCCATATTTCGTGAACTATTCCTTTAATCGTTCTATTTTGTGCCTATTTCACCCGAAATCCTTGATTTTCCTCACCGCAGAACACGAAATCCAGGTGGATCCAACTACTCCCATTTTATCTCTGCCCCCTGATCCCTAACCCCACATAATCCTACTCATCTCCACCCCTTAGATCTGGATTCAACTCCGCCCCCTGGATCTCGTGTGCTGCAATCAGGTGCTACTGGGAAATCCCACCTTGAGTTTTCATTGACCAATAGGTGGCAGTGTTGTAGAGAAGATGGATTTGAATCTAGTAAATCTTTTAAATGGTGTTTGTTCAATGTATAATTAGGGGCCTTCATACCAATCATATGCAATAGGATGATGTCTCGAATTGAATCTGAAGAGTTTTCTTCAAACTTCAAGCTAATATTACTTATTGTTAGCTTTGTTTGACACAGATTAGATGCTATAATGAGTAAATGCACATCTAACCCTCTGACACTATGAGAGCTTTTTTGTGTTTAAGAAGAACAGTGCATGATATCTTTCGAATGAGCATAAGAAATGGTTTGCTGGGTAATTTAATTTTTTTCGAAGATCCAACTTTACTCATTCTGTTGGGTGACATCAGACATACTATTGAAGTCGCTAGCTCGAGTACTCATGCCCAAATACTGCTTGAGGAACTCGCTAAAACGCTTCTGGGTGTTCCATTTGCGGGCGGATTTGCGGACGCCTATGAAACCCCCATATCTCTTTTGCAAAGACCTGCCAGGATCCATGAACTTCCTGTAGCCATACTTGTTTTTGAGGAAGCCTCCAAAGCGTTTGATTAGGTGGATGGCAGCTTTTTCTTCCTCGTCACCTTCCATCTCGTTGTCTCCATCTCGCTCTTCCTCAGATTGCTGTGCCGACTGTAGTTGCAGGAACTTGTATTTTTTACTGAGCTTCATATCTCTGTCCTGATCATCCATTTCCAAAGCCCGTGTTATGTGGTCAAACCTCTGGAGGGTTTCAGACATCTCTCCATCTTCTTGGTCCACAGGTAGAGAGGTGTCCACCTCTTCATCTGCTCTTTTCAGCATGGCACCTCCAACCGATAATGAAGCTTTTGGTTTCTGCTCCACAATGGTCCTGCGACACATCTCCCAGGTGTCGCCTGGAGAAAGTTTACCATAACACTCTACCAAACACACCTGAAGGAAGACACAAACAAACACACGTTCCAACATCAATATACTTTAACAATAATACAGACACACTCAGAGGTGAAGAATTTCTGTAAAGTTATTTTCAACACAATTTATCTATTGACTGGTCTTAGCTGATTTAAAGGGACATGAAAATTGTGTCCAATTGTGTGTTCCAAACCTGTATGAGTTTCTTCTGTTGAACACAAAAGAAGATATTTTAAAGAATGCTGGTAATAAACAGCTGACGTTGACTGTCGCCATTGACTCCGAAAACTGATAAATGCTGCCTTCGAAGTATGCATTCCAAGGTTGGAAGGCATCAAGGCACGTACGAATGCAATGTTAGTTTCACTTCCTGTCTCCTGAGATACCTTCATCTGATCGATTTTTGAAGGCAGCATCTGTGTATCCTTTGCTGCCTTTGATATCCCACAATCCTGTGCTTTCCATTCTGTGACAGTTGAGCTAGAAAAATAATGATGGGGTCTGACAGTTGCGGCTGGTGGTCAATTTGTGTCTAACTGTACATTTTTGATAAACGTTTTCCACTGATGTCATTTCTAGTGAGAAATTACTAAATAGTCAAATTCACTTAGTTTTCACCAAAGCTCACTCTATTTTGCTGTAGATCATTAAAACGTTACATTGCCTCAGAAGTCTGTCTGTCCGAAATCAATTTTGTGAGGTAGGCTAGGCAACCTTTGTGCACAGACACTGCCTGCAAAGTCGTTGCCGAAGATTTCGGACGCAGCCCAATGGTGCCGTCAACTGTCTGGTTAACAAAATTATTTAAAATATCTTCTTTTGTGCTCAACAGAAGAAAGAAACTCATACATAAGGGTGAGTAAGTAATGACAAAATCTAAATTTTTGGGTGAACTACCCTTTAAGATGATCTCCCATGCAGTCAGCTACACTGGTGTTCTGAGGAACTAAAGTCACGAGTCACACCTTTTTATCTATCTATGGCTATGCTTTGGTCACAAGTCACGACGACCCTCGCATACTAAAGTGGGAGGAGTGCCAGGTCTTTTTCATGTAATCCAGTGCAATCAATTAACCTATTCGAATTAAAAGTCTGGCTTCGAGGGTGTTTGTTAGTGACCAGAAAGAGGGAGAGAGGCAGAGAGAAGAATATGGTCATTCATGCTGAAAATGAATAAAAACACCTCAGGGAGAGCCTACACGTAACGATGGAGAGCTACTCTGGCCAATCAGTTTCCATAAGCAGCCTTGCCAAATGATGTTATTGTGTTTCTACTTAATTACACAAGAAGATAACTGAATCACCCCAGCTGTTTTGAGTCAAAGGTCCATCTTTAACCAAATTAGCACTTCTGCCTCCGCAAATGCGTCTTATTGACATGAATCAGAGAGTGTGTCCTCCTCTCCTCGGAGCTATAATCAACTGCAGTGCACAACCACATTCCGCTGTTATGATCATTATAATTATGTCAACTAATGACGAGTCTCGGGGAAATTCGATACAGTTGAGGCCACAGATCTTGAACAGAACAGACAAATTAAATAAGATAAACGAAGCTGTAGAAGATCTGGAACTCGGGAGTAACAAAGAAAACAATACTTTACGTAGCCTATTCAGAAGAAATATTCCTCTTACTTTTGGTTGATTAAGGAGCTTTAGCACTTATGTGGTCTCTAGGGTGTTTTGAGTGGTTTATGTGGTGTCGTGTCACTGTCAATATAGCAGAGTCTTTGACATTCCGGTTCCCTTTTGAACGGTCACTTCATATTGCGTAACTATACACAGTGGGAAAACTCATTTGCATTTGCAAAATTTTCAGCTGCACAGCTAGTCCATTGAGCATCTGGCTTGCTCATAGGCTGTGCTTGCAGCAACTGCAGATCCAATGGTGCGGGCGCCATGTTTGGCCCCTAAACAGTTATCCGGGGACCTTCCTGTGAAGGTGAACACTATATCTGAAGCTAAGACCCCGTCAACTCGGCGCCTCTATGCTTCGAAATGGGTGGGTTTTTTTTCCAGATGGTGCTCAGAAAACCATATAGACCCAGAGTCATGTGACATATCAGTGGTTCTACTGGAGCTGTTGGACGCGGGCCGCTCTCTATCCACGCTAAAGGTGTATATGGCAGCCTTTGCAGCACACCATGTTTTGGTGGCTGGCCAATCACTGGGAAGAAATTACCTGGTCGTGAGTTTTCTGAAGGGTGCTAGTAGGATCAATGCCTCCAGACCTCCCTCTGTGCCACCCTGGGATCGCTCCACGGTTCTAGGGGGGGCTTTGAGGGGTCCATCTTTTGAACCGCTCCAGTCGGTTGATCTTAAATCTCTCTCGCTGAAGACCGCTCTCCTGTTGGATTTAGAATCTATCAAGCGAGGGGGGGATCCGCAGGCTTTCTCTGTGAGCCCGGCATGTCTGGAGTTTGCTCTAGATAACTCTAAGGTCATCTTCAAGCCCAGGCATGAGTATGTGCCCAAAGTGCTCTGAACGGTGCTGAGAGCTGGTGGTGACGTTATTGGCAGACGTTAGTGACATTACAGGGCAGAGAAGATAAACCTCACCATCCTCATTGAAGAGGGAAGCCCAAACAATGCAGAACGCTCCAGATAAATGGACAATAATAACAGCTTTTTGTCTGCTTTGGTGGTCGATCCAAAGGGGATTCAGTCACTAAGCAAAGAATGTCTAAGGGCCTGTTCACATATCGCGTCTTTTGCACGCTCAAGTTCGTTATTTCAAATTTAGACATGCAGTATGCGCACTCATAATGGAAGCGACGCGGTCGCGCTCGTTTTTTCTAAGCGCGTCCGCGCTGCATTGTGATAAAAACATCTCAACTTTTCAGAATGCCGCAAGTGCACCATAAGTGCACAGTACGTCACGTGACAAGAACCAACCGGAGCGCAACCGCCCTAGCGCTTTGGAAAATGGAGAATGTGGCGCGCCCAGAGTTTTCTTCGCGTTTTTAGGTGCTAATTATGAATCCGGCCTAAGTGGATAGTGGATGCTATTATACCTCAGTGTGTCAGGTTTGCCCTATAGGCAGGGCCTAAAATTAACTTTTTTGGCCACCGGCCACTGTGGCAGGTGGATCTAAAAATTCACATGCCACAGAGACTTTTTACCAGCCACTTTTTTTGCCTCATATTTTGCCTCAGCCAAAAAAATGGCTGGTAAAAAGAATATTGTGAAATTCCTGGGTTTTTTTCACCTTTATATAGGCTAAAGGTGAAAAAAAATGGGGAATTTCACAATATTGTTCTTTCACTTGTAAGAATACACATTTAAGTGCTGTCAAGTAATAATAATAACTCTAAGAACATACTTTTTTTTAAAATCTTTTTATTCATTGATTTTAGTATGTACTCAACAGATAGACCTACCTCGTATGTAAACAAATCACACGCGGCTGTGTTGATGGCTGATTTAGTCACGTAGACAGATCCTGACAGCTTTTAGTTACAGCATTCAGGAACTATGAACTAAATTAATAGTGTTATTACTGGTAAAGTTACCGGGTATCGAATATTTTCTCACTGGTTCCCAACTCCCAACATGCACAGTTGCACACGCACACGCACGTACGTCAGCGTTACATTATCTCATCCCATCTCACCAACAGGTTAATACTCGCACATCCAAACGTAGTCAGAAAAGGGCCTTTCTGATCGCATGAACGTTACGAAACAGTCGCTGTCATAAATCAGCCGCTCACGAACCTTGCCACTGCAGCCAATTGTCCACTTTGTATTAAAATGTCTACTTTTACTTTCTCATCCTCATCTTTTTGTTGGTTGTTTGTTTCAGCGGGCCTCTTTACCCCAGTAATGTGCCGCCACATTTTAGCTAAAGTCAAACGCAGTGGCGGACTTAGTTGAAATGTAAAAATCCTAATGAATCACTCAATTCTCATTGGCTACCTGCCAATGTGGCAGGTAGATTGACAGTGTTACCCGCCAATAGAAAAATTCACCCGCATTTGGCAGGTGGTCGGGTGTTAATTTCAGGCCCTGCCTATAGGTATCAGGGCCCATTCGACCAGAGACATGGCCTCGTCATGGGCTTGGTCATTTGGCTGTCCCATTCAGGATATTTGTGACGGGCCGGTTGGTCCTCATCTTTCACATAATGAAATTCTATAACATGGAGGTGCCTTACCTGAAGCATTTATATGTATGTTATATTTTCACATACATATAAAACCCAGTATGGCTGGTTGTATTGTCATATTCTATTAACCACTGGCTGACTGGTTTATTATTAGTGTGATATGTTGGTGATTACTGACTCAGATGTATTATTTTACACCTGACGGTGTCTGTCTGATGTATACATGTAAGGATTATGACTTGTTCTGTATGCTTCGGGGTCCTGAGCTGCAGTGGCAACCAGTTATTCAGTGCTGCGTTTTGCATAGCGTTCCCACTGTCTATAGCTACGCAATACGAAGTGACCGTTTGAAAGGGAACTCTTGGTTACTCATGTAACCTCAATTCCCTGAGTTAGGAAACGAAGTATTGAGGAGCCGGCCGCACTGTACTAACTGACTAGTTGTCGCTTCAGTCATATAAACCTGCTATAATGGTGAATTCGGGGACTAATATAGGCTGAGGCCACACCCCTTGACAGGCTCTTGCTGCAGCACATCCTATGAGCGAGCCAGACACTCAATGGGCTAGCTGTGCAGCTGCAAATGCGTTTTACATATAGGTTTCAGTAAATCGAGGAAAAGGAGTTTTCCCACTGCATATAGCTACGCAATACTCCGTTCCCTAAATCAGGGAACTGAGGTTATGTGAGTAACCATGTAGTTTCTCAAATAGATAAATCGTTTAATGTAAGTTTATAGGATTTATTTCTTCTTTTATGTTGTCTGCTTGACAAAAATGCTTGATAATTAATTGTTTCTTATTTGGGGATCAACTTTCTACATTTCTAATTTGAAGAAAAAAATTAAATAGAAACAAATGAGACAATTATTGCCAAGCTATAAAAAATGAATGTGGATGGTTTAGTTTTGGAAACATGTAATAGGAAGAATACATTTTGAGCTCATTAAATCTCTGATCACAGATGTTTTTAGTGTATGTAAGCACAATAATCTATGACATTGAAACTCTAGACCATGATATATTTAAGATCATTGAGGGTTTTTTGTTTGTTTTTAGTGCAAAATTCTCCAAATGCTTTCCATTTATTCTGATTGCTGTCTAGGAGAGATATTTAAGATATCTCATTTGGGATATTCTTTCGTAAGGGAAGTGATGGCCACTGTAGGGAATTACCAAATTGTTGAAGGCATATTCATTAGGCAGTTTTTGGCTGCAGAAGAGGCAATCCTTCTGGCAGTCACACCATGCTGGGTTACACAGTCCAAGCAACAGTAGCGTCCACAGTGGAGTCTTCATCACGGAGTGTGAGAACAGCTGTAGAGATGATACTGTGAGAGAAAAGAGATGATGGTGTGAGAGAGAAAATAAGTAACAGAAGCAAAACTTGGCACAACAATATGTGTGTATACATTAGTTTAACGTGTAAAAGACTTTCCTGGAATTTTTCTGATTGTTCAAGTATTATGAGCACTATCTTAAATCTAATAAACTCAAAATCAAAAACCAATTGTAATTAAAATAGCCCGAATAATTTCAGAATTATACAATATTTAAAAGGTTCACATATTAAAATAGAATGTCTGTAAGATTTGGTGAAAGAAGTTCAAGGCAGCTTTTATTTGATAAAAATACAGTAAAACCAGTAATTTTGTTAAATATTATTACAATTTAAAATAACTGGTTTCTATTTTAACACATTTTAAAATAGCAGTAATTCCTGTGATCAAAGCTGAATTTTCAGCATCATGCCTTGATCTGTGTTTGCCTTTTGGATTATCTATTAAAAACTTTACTTTGACATTCATCTTCATTGTCTTGTGCCTATCTACAACCACCAGTTGTGCCATTTAATGCTTCCTTGCTGAATAAAAGTATTAACTTATAGTTTTGGACTCAACTTTAGATTGGTATTGGTGAGCATAAACCATTTGAAATCTGGCTAGAAGCTCAGGAGTCCCCAGTTAGAAAATGAAAGCATCGTTTTTGAAGAACTGAAATGAGACTCCCTGAGCTTAGAAGGTCACATTGGAGCTAAATATGTTACCTATGCCGCGTTCCAGGCGACCTGTAACTCGTGTTTTTCCAACCTTATACCCGTGAAAGTGCACTGGAACGGCAGTCAAACCCGTGACTTCCCACCCGTGAACTCGTACTAGATCGATGTACTCCCAGTTACGAGTTCTGACGTCACATAGCCCGCGAACCAATGACAGCCCCTACTGATGCAGTGTTTCTGCAGGCGGTACATGGTGAGAATACACTTTAGGACAATATAACGTCAACTAGTTTTCAGTCCATTGAGTGCAAGGATAAATATATACCAAATACATTTCCAAATATACAAATAAAGTAAAATAAAACATATGACAGCTTATCTTGCCTCATGCGCTATTTTTCCTCCTCAGTTTCCCACAAATAAACAAGGAGTAAGCACCTTTGGCGATAGAAAATATTAACGCGCGTGAGCCCCGTAAGGTCCGCCATGCTGGTTTGTTACATCTAGGTAGTTTGGCGTGAATGACCTGGAATGCTACAAAGTCGTAAGTCGTGGTTTACGAGCTCAAAAACCTGCCTGGAACGCAGCTCTAGTCCATATAAAAAGTAACTTGATTCCAGATTAGTCATAGTTTATTATAAAGAAATGTTGTTCTATGGTCACAGTGTATAGTTGGTTGCTGGGCGACTTTGTTTAATACGTTTTAATAGACTATTTTCTTTATGGAAGCTTTCGAATTTAATAAAATAAATTGATCATTAAATATTGAACTGAGTTGAAATTATTTGTTTATTTGGCAAGTAGCCGTGTAATGAGCAGAATAATGTACAGTCAGAGAGTGATTATTGCAAAATAATCAGGATAACGGATTGGATAATGGTTGTCTGAATGTAGCTACTTTATCCGTCAGATAATCTAAACTTGATTTAGATGTAAAAATGTATCTTGTGTGATGTTAACAAACTATATTTAAAGGTACTTTTTGATTGAATTTGAGACAGACTTTGCATTTGCATGTACTTCATTAGCAAAACTCATCATCTGTAGTAATTGAAGCTAGAATTAGTGCTTGTGGCGTAATGGGAGCAGAATAGAGAAGAGGAGGATTTGAGCTGCTGTGATGCATGCTGGTTAAGCAGTCTTAGTTACCACATTATTCCAAACAATAGAAAGGACTATAAAGCTTCAGCATTCCAGCACTTTAAGAATAATAACCTTATTCTGTGGCTTCCTGCTCAAGCAAATAAAGTACAGATGAGAATGTACATTTCAGCATTGACAGGTAGCCTGACATACCCACCAAACCATCAGTTGTTTAGTTGCTTCAAAAGCAAGATAAATCAATTTCACCTGCATTACACTTGTACTGAAGGTGTCACCAGGAACAAAAGCAAAGGTGTAAGTCACTGAGAATTCGATCGGCACCCCTTGAGTAAGTTTTATTGAATTTGGTCACCGTACGAGCAACAGACAGAAAAGACACATAATTATAAGTGTGTGAGTGAATTACACAACTTTATGTATGGGGGAGAATGGACTATTGATTTTCACACCACCACCTTTAGGTTTTTTTCTCTTCTCGGGAACTACAAGATGACGCACCTATAGATTCTGGCCAGGGTGCAGCATTGTTTAGAGGTGATATTTCAAGTGAAGATTGTTTGTTGCAACAGTATTTTTCCTCAGCATTTATTTATTCTTGGTGAATTTTCTCATTTGAATTTAGATTACCAGGACAAATTTTTCTGTGCACCTCAAGTGCCCCAGAAGTTCTTAATCTCACTGCAGTTTTAACAGACCTAAACATACATGTGGGATGCAGAGCTTGGCAGGCCTTCAAAATGTAATTAACTAACTCAATTATGTAATAAAAAAGACTTAACCAAGATAGACACAGTGATTTAACTCCTGACCTTTGGAATTATCTCATATACCCAAAGGAGAGAACAATTTCTCATTGACTAAGTGGGAGGAAATTGGTGCAGTTTGAGAAACTGTGCTTTTTATATCATAAGAAAGCTTTTCTCTTTTGAAAATAAAATTGTGCTCTGTTTACAGAATGCCAGCGTTTCATATCTTTTCAGAGTGGCACTTTTAGATTCGGTGTACCAAATTAAGATTAATTAATTTTTTTTTAATGCTGCACAGAGGAGGCATAAATGCATTTACTCAGAAATTACAATTGCACTCTTAAAAATCCTGGGTTTAGCCTGTTTGAAGCTTATTTCTTTAGCCTCTTGGTAGTTTTTGTGTTACCTTACAGGCTCAGAACTTCACTACAATTTTAGACTACTTTCAAAATTCTTAAAAACATGCTGGATAGCATCATGGCACACTTACAAACACACACACACAGAATCTTAAAGGGTTAGTTCACCCAAAAATGAAAATTAAGTCATTAATTACTCATCCCCATGCTGTACCAACCCCGTAAGACCTTCGTTCATCTTCGGAACACAAATGAAGATATTTTTGATTAAATTTGAGAGCTGTATAACTACCACATAGGCTCCGAAGGGAATGACACTTGACGGCCCAGAAATTCAATGAAGAAAATGTTTAAATATTCCATGTGACTACAGTGGCTCAACTATAAGTTTATCAAGCGACGAGAATACTTTTTGTGCGAAAAAACAAACAAAAATAACAACTTTATTCGACTATTCCTTTTCTTCCTTGTTGGCCTGAAACGAGACTTCAAGAGATTTCCACGACGCATGCGCGAGAACTGAACTGAGGTAGTTGAAGGAGATCGCAATTCTCGCGCATGCGTCATGGAAATCTATTGAAGATTTCACAAATAAAAAGTAAGGCAGACCATGTCAGGTTCAACCCATATTATTGAGCTTTTGAGACTTTGGCTCCCCGACTAATAGGGATGCGATGTGTAAGGCTGAGTCAGTTTTTTTGTGTTCAATAGAAACGCCTGACCCCTTGCATTAAATAAATTATTCGTAATAAAATAGGCCTTTGAAACGTTGTCGCATTTGAATCTTTGTTTCTTGCAATGTGATTTTATCTCTCACATTTACTATTTCTCATAATTGTGACTTTATCTCTCAAAATTGTGACATTAAATCGCACAATGTCACAGTTTCTCACTGAGACTTTATTTCTTACAATATGACTTTATATCTCAGTGTTGCTTTATTTCTTATCATTTTTCGTAGTATTTTTCGCTCCGATATGGTCTCTCATACAAATGATGAATGAAAATATGAATATGATGTCTAATTATAATTTATAAATAATTAAATAAATATCCTAATTACAACAGCGATGTTTCAAGATTTTGCTGCTGCATTTTATTTTAATTACAGAACAAAAGCAGCATCAGATCTATCTGATTCTATGGATCAGATCGCAACACAGAATCTGGTGCAAGCACTCAGCATCCATAAGCCTTAATGTGTTCTTTCTTCATATTTTAATACACCTTGAGTTATGTTGACTTCTTTTCCATATTCTGATCAGATAAAAGGAGGAGAGAGACCGTTAATTAATGGATTCTAACACTGCAACATTTCTGTCATTGATGCTCATAAATATCACGATGAGAAATATCAGACGTTGTCCAGTAAACAAAGCAAGTGTAAAGAATTCCATGTTCTGCTTTATTTCCCGTCTCCACCAGTTGCTACTCTCATGGAGATATTGTCCATCATTTCATGTGTTACCTCATGAGATTTTAAATGTATTGGTTAAAGACACTCACTGGTTCAATTAAACTCAAGAAATAAATGGGGTTAGTTTTGCACAGCCCATTTCTCAATCAAACGCGTCATAATCAAAGCTAAATACCAGAGGGGTTCTCAGTGGTGGAGATGCGAGGTTCACTGCTGTGTCTAATTAGACCAGAATTTTGCAACTGCAGATGGAAAGCTGGAAAGAAATTGCTGCAAGGGGTCTGTGAGCTGACAAACACGTAATTACAATCACATATACCCCCAGTTTCACAGACAAGGCTAGTTCTAGACTAAAATGCATGTTTGAGCTGTTTTAACTGAAAGCAACTTGCACTGACATATCTTAAAATATGTCACTGGCATAGTTTTGTCTCACGATTCTCACCACCAGTAATGTTTTTTTATAAGGCATGTTAATAAATGCTCTAACTGACCTAAGGCCCAATCCTGGCTTAATCTAAGTGCTGTGAAACAGGGCCATAACATTTATATTATTTATATATGACACAAAACTAAGGCCCCGTTTACATGAAGGGAAAACGCAGATATTTCTCTGCGGTTTGACCTGTCATTTACACGAAAACGCCGTTTTTATCACTGAAAACGATTATTTCTAAAAACTCCGGCCAAAGTGGAGATTTCTGAAAACGCCGGGTATGTGTTGTCGTGTGAACTGGGAGAAACACCGTTTTAGGTTCTCTCTTGTCATTTCTGAGGATTCTGATTGGCTTGCATGGCTTTATCCTTCTCCCTACACTGCCGCCAGTAGGTTTGGCATAGATATGATGGCGCTCGACGGTGTATTTATGCGGGTGTGTGCACGATGTTATTATTGAAAACAGAGAGGGGGAAAATATTTGTTTCTCTAAATACCCGGCTTTGTGTAAATGTGGCCAAACTCCATAGCCTATGGAAATAAATAGTGATACAGTATATGATCATAATGGGATGGCCATTGGGGCGGCAACTATTATGATGCTAACAGCTGTACCTGGTTTGAATTAATGACGTCAATTTCCTTCAAGCATGACGCTTTAGATCAGTTAAAAAAGAAGAAATCAATGACCATTATTACTAATCCAGTATTAACCCAAGAGCCAATAGCATCCAATAGTTGATGTGTACAAGTGTCATTATTATTGGCTGTAAACATAATGAATGTCAATGAAATGACCAGTGATGCAGCAACACCCCCCCCCCCCCCCCCCAGGAACATTTTATTGCTAATACGTTACTCTTACATAGCACAGGTGAGTCTCAGTTAGACTTAAGGATAATTTATGTTTCTCCTTAAATTCCTTAGGAGAAATAAAAAAGAGACAATTGCTGACGTACAGTGAGAGTATAGAGCTATAAAATGAAGGTGGACGACAGTACAGACAGATATGATTTTGTTTGGGAAGAATCTGATGATGTTTTGGTTTGTATTGTGATCTCTGATCTTCTGAAACTCTAATGCCCTGTACACATTGTGTGATTTCGGGCTGTTCCAGACAAAAGATGACCAATAGTGGCGATTTCTGTGGTCGTGGTTTCTAAACGGTGGTTCTACGTCATACCAACACAGTCTCATGAAGATACAACGAGTGTCATTTCTCGTGGCATTTATACGCCAAGAATGTTTTTTTCGTGTATATGGTACGCACTAAAAAACCCTGGGTTAGGTTTAGGGGGGAGGGGGGTGGGGAGTTTGTGCGTATTATACGCAAAAAAAGTGCGTATCATATGTACACGAAAAGCGCGTGCCATATACACGCAAAAACTGTTTTTGGCGTATAAATGCCACGAGAAATGACATTGGTGCCAGATACGAACTTTCATGAGATCGGGCTGGTCATACAGTGAGAGAGGTTCAAAGATTGCAACCAAAGATTGCCTGTGATAATTTTATGACAGATTTTATAATTTTCTAATTTTATGCTGCTATGACTTACGTCTACTGACTGGCCAATAAAAATGCAACATGAAATGTCATATGGATCAACTTGACCTGGCGCTAAAACATAAAACTATTTACCTCAAGCTCCATTTGCAAAAGTGGCATGCCAATTTGGCCTCTTTTCCCTAGCAATGGCCACATCCATATTTTCTCTTTTGCTTCCTCCTCTTTTTTTAGGGCTCATAAAAATTGCCAAAGTGCAATTCATGTTTCTCTATTTGTTTACCACTAGCGCATGCTGATGACGTTTTATTCTTCTTTCACTTGCGTTGTAGCCTACAATTCAATAGGTGTCACCAGCATCGTGTCACCAGTCTACATACATGTCGTACCCAAGTTTATTAGTTCAATGTCGTACAGTGCGATTTGTACAGCCCATTCTCACTCCCAAGGCGTCACCTAACTGACGCCTTGGGAAGCATTTGGACATGCTTCAATATCTGACGCTTTAGGCGCCCTTTAGCGTCAGTTAGATGACGTCCTAGGATCGCGTGTACCCTACCCCCACCCCACACCTAAACCTAACCGCGTCCTCTAACTGACGCTTTCCTTTAGCGTCAGTTAGATGACGCCGTAGGATCGCGTCATGTAAGTGACGCTAAAGGGCGCCTAAAACGTCAAATATTGAAGCATGGTCAAAGGTGACGCCTTGGGGTGAGAATGCGTTGATTTGTAATGATCTTATAGGATTGCCGAAATCCAGCCCATTCTCACCCCCAAGGCGTCACTTAACTGACGCCTTGGGGGTCACTTAACTGACGCCTTGGGAAGCATTTGGACATGCTTCAATATCTGACGCTTTAGGCGCCCTTTAGCGTCAGTTAGATGACGCCCTAGGATCGCGTGTACCCTACCCCCACCCCACACCTAAACCTAACCGCGTCCTCTAACTGACGCTTTCCTTTAGCGTCAGATAGATGACGCCGTAGGATCGCGTCATGTAAGTGACGCTAAAGGGCGCCTAAAACAACACATATTGAAGCATGGTCAAAGGTGTCGCCTTGGGGTGAGAATGTGTTGCGAAATCACACAGCCTGTAGCAGGATCTCGCATCAGTGGTAAACACGACACAGACAAGCAGACAGGTAGGGTGAAAGGAAATGAGACAGAAAATAATAGAGTGTAGTGGACTTTGTTCAACTGTATGTCTCAGCAGGGCCACTGCAGCCCATGAAGGTCAAAGACAAACATTTGTGCGGACACACGCATACACCTACAAACTCACAAGCAGATCAACGCAGGCACAAATTGAATGCCAAATTGCCCCATGCAGTAACCACACCTAAAAAATTATTTTTTTAATAAGAAATAATTAGAGACTGGAATAGAAGGATTCACCACACTTAAACAGCAGTCGGGATGGGCTTTGCATTGACACCCCACAATATAAAGATAGATGATCTAATCAAAAAAGCTTAAGGTTGTTTTCATGCTTGTGATGCAAAAGTAATGCGGTTTTGAATGCAGTTGTTAAACTCAAGATAACGGGCAGAGGAACTCCTTGAAGAATTATCATCCTGCAGTGCAGTTTTATAGTCCAGCATCAAATAGACATGTTAGTCCAGATTGCAGATAAACTGTTTGGAATTTTAAAACATGTATATGTGATATTGCTTTCAGGTTTGTACTATTACTATGGCATTTAACATCTCTTTTATTGATTGTATTGTAAGAATGAAGCATAAATCTGAGTCACAGTGCTGTACTGCACTGCACATCTGCAAACAAAGCCTTCCGTTTCTCCAGCCAGTGCCTAATATCCTTTTATAGCTACTATTTTCAACTGGCTGACCACTGTAAAAACTATATAATTCAACATAGTCTGATATTCATGTCAAAAATGTTCATGTTTATAAAGCTAGATTATCATTTTTATACATTTTCAGTGGTTATGCTTGTATAATTTTCTTTTATGCTTATGATTATGCTTTTTTTTTGCAGGATATTTAAAGCACCAATCAGGAGTCAATTTCATAGTGGCTAAATTTGTGGCATAAGTTTCGGATGAGCTGATAAATTAGTCATCATAGCAACACTTTCCCTCTGCGTTGACGATCTCAGGAATAAAAGACACAAGAGCTGTCACTCATATGTACATACTTACCCTTAAGGTACTAATATGCATCCTTAAGAGGAAAATAGGCTACGAAGGTGTGAATTAGGTACTGCCACAGTAACGGTTTTTGAACCTTTTTTTCTGAGAGTGAAAACTTTTATGCCATTATTCTAATAAAATACAACATACGACATACAAGGTTGCATAGAAGGATAAATAGCAGTTAATCTTTTTCAAAAACCTTTTTGACTTTAATTCAGCCAGGTTTTTGTTATGTAATAAACAGTATTACTACTTTTAGGGACACTCGTTAGGTATGAAATGATCTGTTGCAATATCAGAAAGTTACATTTTGAAACATTCAAGGCATTTCATCCAATGCATCACAATCTTTAAAGGCTGATTCGTCACACTTAATTTTTGTAACCTGTGCACTACATGCAAACTCCAGCATTTAAGACACTTGGCCACAGATAGAAGAACATTGCTAATGGCCCATGAACGGAGCAGGTGCTGGGCATTTTGCTGCACCAAAAGTCAACTTGTTTTCAAAAATATTTCACAAAACTCCCGATATTCCCTCTCAGCTGAATCAAACACCTCAGAGTACAGTAAATTTCTCTCTAAAGTTAAATGAGGTGTATAGTAACCTGGATTATGCCTTGTAAAGAGTTGCATTGATTTCACTATGGACAAATCAATGACATAATTATGAGAGCAAAGGGAAAAATACGTCCCTTTCATTCACAAGACAGAATACAGAAGACACTACATGCTTTATATTAGTAAATTATGGGGAAAATGCAATAAACTACTGATCTGATGAGATATTTCACCCAGAAAGGATAATATCGTCTATTACACCCCTATGTTGTTCAAAACCTGCATAACTTTCTTTCAAAAGAAAATATTATACGTTGGGGTCCAAACAAAATTGAACACAGAAAGAAAATAATAGAGTATTTTAACTATCCCTTTAACATCCAAGTTTAACAAAAAAAATGTTTTACTTGAATTGCACAAATTTCAAATAGTCAGCAATTAGATTCGTGCAAAGTGGCCTGAGTAAACTAATGTGAATCTAAAGTGTTTCTCCCTCTCTGTCAGCCTACCTGAGCTGTGTGCGGTTCAGGCACCTGTCCTGAGCAGATCTGCTGAAACTGAAGGCAGTTATATTCTCCTATTGCCTGCTTCTGTTTGTTTCCTAAGAGGATGCTGTTGCTCGGTCGTCTTATAGAGACACACCCCTCCCTGTGGTCCAACCCCTAAACCCCTGTTTTACAAGTGTGTGTATGTGTGTGAGAAAGAGAGGGAGAGAGAGAGAGAGAGAGAGAGAGAGAGAGAGAGAGAGAGAGAGAGAGAGAGAGAGAGAGAGAGAGAGAGAGAGAGAGAGAGAGAGAGAGAGAGAGAGAGAGAGAGAGAGAGAGAGAGAGAGAGAGGACACAAAAGCCTGTCTTGCGTATTGGGATGGGTGGACGTCAAGATCCATCTTCTACGTCAAGGATTGCAGTCTCTCAGAACAAGCTAGAAAACTAAAAATACAAGCAAAACATTTTCCCAGAATACTCGTACACTCATTCACAGCGTGTCCTCTGTCCATTTATCCTCTGTGCTACTCTGATGAAGTGATGCTTACAATTTGAGGGTAAACAATGGAAATGAGGGAGTTTAAACCAACCAGACCCTATACTTGAATGAATTGGTCTTAATAGAAATACAGGTAAAATAGAAAATTATTGATTCAATGCATACAATAATATTTGGTTGTTCAGATTGTTTGTCCATCAAAGAATGAGGAATATTTGGGATTATAATGAAATCTCTCTTGTTTGGGCAGATCTGAGCACAGTTCGAGACCCTAGAAGAGACAGGCTATATGTGAGATTACTGGGTTTTTTTTTTTTTTTAATGAAAAGGCATAAGCATTTGTTCTTCTTTTCTGTCTTGGGAAAATAGATGATGTTAAAGAAATTTCCTTCAGAAGTTTTCTTTGGGGAAGTTTCTTTTTTATCTAGTTTATAGGCAAAAAATAAATAAATAAAAAATACCACTATCACATCACCTAGATTTGATTGACAGAAAGTGAAATAAAATGTATTTTACTGTTATTAAATGGGCATTTTTACATATTGTCCAATCATACTAATATTTATTGTCATTTGAGATTTGAGATTGAGATTTACAAACTACATACTAAACACAACGTCCCCTGAACAAGAAAAAAAATCCATCCTTGTTTAAGACATCTCCAATTATGGAGTTCTGAGGTGACAAATTCACTGCACTCTGAAGACGAGTGTGTCTTTTTCACCAAATGGCCTGTAGATAAATGTGCCCGACGGATAGCGAAAGCTCCTTTGCATAGTCTCACAATGAATGGCAGTTTTAAAATAAAACTATTTCATGGTGATGCCACAAAATCCCAAAAAACAATGCAAGGGCTTGAAAGTGTTGAGATTGCTTTTCTAACAGTGAGTTGCTTGTGAATTGAAACCCAGTCTTGTCTAGCAAGTACAAAACAGCCAAATCAGAACAGGCCAGCACTCTGTCCACAGGTGAAGGGACCAGAAAATTGGCCCTCCCAGCTGTGGCCTCCACATCTGCTTCAGCCAGATCTTACAAAGTGAGTTTAAACAGTCATGTGTTTGTCCTTGGGCGGGTATATAGAGTACCTCTGATTATGGCGATGGTAAAAACAGCCTCTCGCTGAGATGACCATCTCGTGATGCTAAGAAGGGCTTCTGGCCCAAATGATGTATCATTGTAGCTCTCAGCATGATAGCATGGAGTGGGGAGATCTGATAAGTGTGTTACAGGATGAGTTGTGTTCACTGATCTGGCTTCAGCGTGTCACCATGCTGAGGAAATGGAGCCAGAGAAGAAACTCATGCTGAGAGAGAAGAAAGCATTTGGCTAGATTTTCTGGGGATCAGCTCTGGCGTGAGTCTACGATGGGCAGAACTGTTGGTGTATTGTGTTCTGGACTCACAGCATGATGCATGGAAGATAAAATGTGCATATTAGAGAAGTCCAAGTCCCACTCAATGCAGTGGGAAAACAAAGGAAAGTTCCCTCCGCAGAATATCCAACCTGATTTAAGTGTTTTTCCCCCAGTGATTGGATAATTGGTGTCATCACTTGGCATCTTCTATACGCTGATTTCACGCAGCCGCCATTTTGAAATGGCTCCGGTGGGAAGAAAACCGGAAGCGTCGCTTTAAATCATAGGAGAGTCACGAATGCGATGCCGTATTGTTGTGTTTAATGTAGAAATTTGTTATTCTAAAAATGTACATACATTTCTTTCATAGTTTGTTCTTTCAAATACATTTTTTAAATATATATATTCAGAACATAAAAAAAGAAGCAGGAACGAACTATATACAGATATTGGATATTAGTTTCTAATAGCTTAAGTCGCAGCAGCAGCTTCAGGTTGGTTGACCAAGACATTGTTGTCTGTACTTCCAGGATTCTTCCCACCGGAGCCTCGCTTTCGATTTCAAAATGGCAGCTGCGTGAAATCAGTGTATTAGTTAGTGCTTGAAAATTAACATAAATAAACTAAATTTAAATAGGTGACTGAATAGGCAACAAGTATAAATTGCAAGTAACAAAATGTTGGGCTGCAGATATTGATAAACTTATGTAATTAAAGAAAAATATTGAATACAGTATTTTTTTTATGAAATAGTTTGACCTGTTGTAACCTGGTTGAATAGTTGAGTATAATGTAGTAAACAATCCCATTTTTACAAATATTGGTGTTTACTTGTCTTTCCAAATTATACAAATTCTTGAGCATCCCGTCACATTTTGAAATGTTTCACTTTTGTTCTCTAATATGGAATACAATGTGGTAATACAATTGTGAAAATGTGAGCTAAATAATACGTTTTTGGTAATTAAAATGACTAGACTAGATGTGATAGTGGTAAAATGACAAGTCGAACCACAAACAACGTACTAAGTGAGCTGAACTGTATGAAGTTCAGCGAACTTCTGAACTGTATGAACGGCATTCGTGGTTCTACTTGTCGAGACTGTTTTCTAAGATGGCGCCGCCTGTATACTCGAAGTGAACTGTCTTTATAAAGTATCTTCTTATTAAACGGTCTGTACACTTACAAAGTTCTCAATGCTTTGTTTTGCATGTATGGACCCTCATTATGTTACTGTGGGGCTATTTTGAGCCTTGTTAGTGGTATAAACTAGCGATTTCTTTTTACTTATTAAATGCCCCCATTACTAGCATTATACGCTAAACAGTTTTAAGAGATAAAACTTTTTACATTCGATTATCATGAAAACAAATCTCAGAGAACGGTTGACTACGTACCGATGTGTTATTAGACCAAAGGTTCATTTTTATCAATATCTAATAGGTATCGCATCAAAAACAAACAACAACGACAACAACAAAAATAAAAAAAACATTTGGATTTGTTCCTCCAGGGCTTTAAAAAGTAATGAGACACCAAAGCATAACATATTCATGGAACGTGCCACAACGTAACAGATTCCCGTGTTGATGATGGCAGTGTGCTTTGTTAGATCTGTCGGTTTCATAATGATATAACTAACTTGTGTCTGAAGACTCAGTCAGCCTTTTTGTTGATTCAAGACTGCCAATGTCAGAACAGAGCAATTTCAGAAACCATCCCAAAGGTCCTTGTACAGCTGTATTTTCTTCCTGGCATCATCAGCTTGATTGTAAAGTAAACATTCCCAAGTTGTTTCAACCAAAATCAGAGTCATTGATAAAAATGAATGCAATCAATCAAGGGTGCAAGAAATCCCCAGTATCATTAAAACATGAGAGAGAACAGAGATGCATCATATATGCAATCAGTTTGATTAATAGAGCTGCACTGCACTGCTAGAATCCCACGGGATTATTCCTAAATGATGTTAACGGATTTCTTTATATTTTTTTACTTCCAAGAAGAGATAAAGATGTACTAAACCTCAAAACAAAGGTAAAGAACAAGGCTGTAAATTCACACAATAACAAACCTAAGCTATGCTCAGAATCATGAACACTGTTCTCAAATTAGCTTAATAAAATGCCTGAAACAGTGAGTGGGATTTAAATGACATATTTTCTTAACAAGTATTTCCAAATAAGGAACATTCAGTGTTTGCCAGATTTATACGCTTTTGCAATAATTTATTCCTTTGTGCAGTTCTTTTGTTAATTCATAGAAAAGCATTGTAACTGAAAATGGCATACTTTACAAACAAGAGATACAAATTAATCTTACCCCTCTTACATCTTAATAATCTTAATTATACTTTTTCTGGCCAATCATTTTCACCAAATGATCCCTAAATACATTTGAAGAACTTCAGTGTTCTTCAAAGGTTAAATTGTTCCTGTTGCTCAACAGTCAACACAGTAGCGAATGGTGCTAGCAATGCCAATGTCATGGGTTTGATTCACAGACACACGTACTTTGCTTTGTGTAAAAATAAATGAAAGGTTTAGCAAATGCAGAGTCTTCTTAAAGCGATAGTTCGCCAAAAAAACTCATAATTTACTTTCTTTTATGGACCACAAAAGGATTTTTTTTTTGAGTTTTTTTTTTTTAATGTCCAGCTCGCATTATGGTTCATGTAATGGCAGTGAATAGCGACCAGCATCAAGCTTTTTAACAATTTAACAATCTACGTAGCAGGAGTTAATGCCACAGTTCACTCCATCTCGCCCAGAATTCTGTCTATTGATATCAGACAAATGGTAGTTACGGTCCAGATTACTCGGTGAAGAAAATACACAGATACTTTTTTTGGGGGGATTAGAGTTGTATGTCATGTCGCTTTTTTGCAACACAGTCTCATGAAAGTGCAAATCTATAGCACAAATGTCATTTCTTGTGGCATTTTTACACCAAAAATGGTTTCTGCGTGCATACGCACTGGTAGGTTTAGGGGGGAGGGGAGTGGGGAATTCGTGTGTTATAAAACTATTATAAATGGCACGAGAAATGACATTCGTGCTATAGATTCGAACTTTCATGAGATCGGGCTCCTTTTTGTTAATCTTGAGTGAACTGCGTCACACGAACGTGCACATAGCCGTGCACCAAAGGTCAGGTTTCCAGTAAAAAAATACATTAAATATCATATTGTGTACCCCCAGAACAAATGTTGCATGGGACCAGGGTGAGTAATTTATGACTTAATTTTCATTTTAGGGTGAACTGTCCCTTTAAATCCCATGTAATAGTATCCA